CGTAGCCCTTTGCCCGCCAGTCCACCTCTGCCGGGGTCTTCAGGGCCATTGACGGTTGGAAGAGCAGTGCCGGCTCCTCCTGCCACGCTGGGGTGAAGCCATTCAGGAGCTGGTTAAACTCCTCATCCGTCTGCAGGTTGCCAAGGGAAAACTCATGTGATGCCATGAGTGCCCGGCCGGCAGCACTGCAGCTCCCCACCAACTGGTCAACCCCCGGGAAGCAGCCCAGCCCCAGGGCACCTGCAGCTCCCAGCAGAGCAGGTTGGGGGTCCCCGGGTGCATCAAGGGGTCCCCGGTCCCTGGATCAAACCCTGGGTGCACCAAGGAGTCACCGGATCAAACCCTGGGTACATCAAGGGGTCCCTGGTCCCTGGATCAAGCCCTGGGTGCATCAAGGGGTCCCTGGTCCCCAGATCGAGCCCCTGGTACGCTGAGGGGTGCGCAGTCCCCAGGTGCGGGCAGGGGTCCCTGGGGAAGGTGCTGGAGGTTCATGGCCAGGCGGAAGGCGTGCTGCCCCTGCGACTCCTCCCGGTTGTGCTGCTGGATGCGCCGCAGGTTCTTCTCCCAGACCTCCCTGCGCGTGGCCTCGGCCTCCTGCCACCAGGCAGAGCGGCAGCAGGGGCAGAATTGTCCCCCGGGGGGACCGGGGGTGAGACCCCCTTGGAACTGGCCCCAGCCCATACCAGGAGGCCTCGGGGGGGAAGCAGGACCTACCGCTGGGTATTCCTTGGCATGGAAGCTCTTCCACCCTTCCCAGGCCTCCTCCAGGGCAGGATCCGGTGCCACGGTGCAGCCCAGCAGGGCCAGGAGCAGCCCCAGCAGCACGGCCATGGCACCCAGCTGGGGGGAATGGTGAGAGCGGGGTCAGGGGGGTCCCCGGGCTGAGCCCCATGGCTACCAGCTGGGACTATGGGCTGGGAGCAGGATGAGTCCTTCCAAGCCCAGATTGGAGTTGAGGGGGGAGGCAGAGAAATGCAAACAGAGCAGCCAAGCCAGAGGGAAGAGAGACACGTTGGTTCCTCCAGCTGGGTCGGCTTTTGCGTGGCCACGCTGCTGTTCTGACAGGAGCTTTGGGAGGTCTTAGCTGTCCTTTGGGTGGCATTTAACTGTCCTTTGTAGGAGAGGAACGAGCAGCTTCACAAGACAGCAGAGCCCGGACGGCAGAAGGAGGCAAATACAGACAAAAGGGCAGCGAGAGCGGCAGGGACCCAGCACCCAAGCAGGATCGAGCCCCAGGCAAAAAGGATGAGCGGGGAAGGCAGGGTTG